ATTTAATTAATGCAATGAAACACTGAATGTTTTAAATGACATGTAATTCCTGTTTTTTGTCTAACATTTGCTTTTCCAGGAAATGTACACATCTGTGCATACTGACGGCTAGTGGTAGATCTAAACAGTTGCATACGCACATACTTGTTTTTCAGTGGCGAGTCAGACTTCTGTCTTTGAAACTCAACCAAATGATTTCAAAGAGCTTCTTAGCTTATGGAGAGAGAGCCTAGTAAAGTTGGTGAAAACCAGAATTGTATATTTACAAGTACTGTTTCTGATTATTGACCTTTATTGTGCCTTGTTCCCTTCTCTACCTTTCCTAATCGCAATAAAGGTATGCAGAAATGAAGAAAATACCAATACTTAAAAGCTGTGCAACAGAATCATTGCTTATAGCCTCAAATTATGCTGTGCATTTTTTAAAATTAACCACCATCACCACAGGTTTAACTTCCATAGCTTTAATTGGGATCCTTATAGTCGCTGGAAGAAGGCACTCGACTCTTTGTAGAGTACCTAGGTTGAGCCTTCGCCTCCAAATGGCTAGCTGGAGGAAGGAACCCTCTTCTTGATTGACTGGGGAGAGCTGGCTTTCAATTGAGGCCGTAAGGTTAGCCACTTTAAGTAGGTGATGTGAATATCCACCTCCATTTTACTGTTCGCTTAAACGGTTCCTGGACAGACAAGGTCTTTGAACATAGGCAGAGACTTAATATCTGGTTAAAGTGAAAAGGTATCTAAATTTCATCCCCTTCCTTCTCTTCGTTCCCTCCTGCCTGATGTGTTAAGATCTGTGCAAAACTTCTGGACTCTTTTCACATATGTCTGCTAAATGATTCAGAGCGAAGGATCAGACTGATTACCAGTACAGCTCCTTCTGAAGCCTGGCCTCTGTCAGGAACCGGCATGGTACCATATCAAGTCTTTTTTAACATGTCACACTCTCTTTGGAGGAGAATGAATAAAAGGTTGGGGTTGTGCAGTTATGTTTAACAAACTGACATCACTGAGAACCTCTGTTGCATTCAATCCACGCTCTAGTTTCTTCCCGTTTTGGTGTTAAGGCCCTTCTCCAGGGCTAGGAGTGATGTTCAGCTGGTTTCAGCCAGGTATAAAGTGAACTTCTGTCATGACATCTTTCAGCCACATAAATATCCAAACAGGTTTCAGCTTACCTTTTTTTTCCAGAAATGCTCAGAGCTGCTTTCTGGTTTGGCTGATTGATGAGGCTGGAGAGGGGATCAGACACTGAAAACTAAAAGCAGGGGGCTGTTCTCCGCAGGCCTGTTCTCGTATCTCGGGCGTTGCACCACGTTACGTAGAGGGTATTGTTGAGGTCTCTAGCCCTGGTCTGAATGCCAGGTGGGCCATACTGTTATTTGCTTTACTCTGGAGGCTAAATTTGCGTAACCTGTAATTTAGGGTATGGTATTGGCAAAAAGCATTGTAATTCTTTATTCAATGTTAGTATCTCCCAGCCCTAGAGTGGAGAAATAGATACCTTTTTTTTCTTGATGGAATTTAATTGATGGAAATGTAGTTGAATCTTGATCACAGTGGCCAGTTGTTTGGCCGTAAATATACAACAAACAAACTTCTAAACACTGGGGTCATTCTTCCAGCATCCTGGATTTAGGAGTTCCCCATGGAAAAGTTATGGCAACTTACTCAGCCTTAACATTTGCTTACTAATCTTGAAGTAATTGTCTGGGTTTGCCAAACATCCTTTCTTCTCCCATCCACCTTACTTCTCCTAATACCCCTCCAAAAGAAAAAGAAAATTAAACCCTGTTTTGTAAAGAGGGAGAGGTGGTGTATGTGGGGGTGTGGCTTCCATCTTTTTGGTTGTATTTTCTCAAGGTGATTTAGGGCCGGAGTTGCTGGGGGTCAATTTAAACATTGTATTTTGGCCTGTTTGACTTGGAACAATACTGAGTAGTGTCTCGTAATAAAATTCAGCATGAAACTTGCATGCTTAGGATTGAGGCATGGCAGACTGAAGTAACTTTTGGTTCTTCTGCCCTAATTCATGAAAATGTGGAATATGTCTCAGAGGTGCTTAGGAATATCTAAGTTGCAGGAATGTCCTATACTGTCCTTTTAGTACAACTCTGTGTGAAATGCTCACTCTGCTATAACACAACCCTCTCTTCATGTCCTAAAGCTGTAGCTTGTAAAATTTTCTGGAGAGAAATGGTCACATAGAGAACAGACATAAAGAACTTGGTGGAGGCACAAGGTGCGATTTAGGGAATATTGCTGAGTGCCAGTAATGAGGTGACTCTGCCTGAAGTTCCTTCTAGATGTATAATTGCCAGAAAGTGTGTCCTTAAAAAAAAAAAAAAAAAAAAAATTCTGGCAGAGGTGGTGCAGAAGAGCAAGACAGTGAAGTAGCTTTGTTTTGCCTTTAGAACTTGACACATCAAGTCTGATGTTCCTTATGCAGTGCTTATTTGATGTCAGGGTCCTTTGAGCAGGATGGATTGCTGTGTGTTTGTACCTTTGATACTTAGCAAGTGCTTGTGGGGTTTAGGAAATAAAACATCTGCAACAAGCAGACAAACTCACCAAAACTCACAAAAAGCACACCAAGGTAAAGGAGAAAATGTTGGGGTTTGGGATGGTGGGGTTTTTTGTTTTGGTTTAGCTTTTTGTGGGTTTTTTGTTTTGTTTTTGCATAAGTACAAACCACAAGAGCAGTGAGGGTTCTGAGATACAAATATAATAGTTGCATGATGGAGGGTATTAGAGCAATGAAGGCAAGAGTGAAACTTGTGATGTCCCAAATTCCGTGGTAGTTAATGTTTTGTGGCACAGGAAGGTCAGTGTTCACAGCAACAGTTTGGCATTGTGTGTGTGTGTATGTGTACTGTGTGGTCTCCTTGTGTGTGTAATGTTGGTGAACATTTTGTTTTTAATGAAACTTCATTCTGTGTCTCAGTAGCATTGTTTACTGTGCTGTGCTGTACGTACATCAAGATATGCTGATGTAGACATCTGTTTTACATGCGTGTGTGTATATAACTGTACAGCTGGGACATTTTATTTTTCTTAAAGCTGTCTGCTCCATGCTATTTCTGCTTTGCAAGGACCTGTGTTACTCTGACCAGGCAAAGACAATTATATGCAGCTGTATACAGAGATAATGTGCAGCTCCATTTGCTTGAAGGGACGAGAAACATGTCGGAGTTCTCTCCCTTTAGTCCATGTCTCCCTCGCATGCACTGAGCTGAGGTGCTCCACATTGGTACAGAGACCCAAAATGTAGTGAGCTGGTAGCAGCTGCCGCCAACTAATTCCTAAAATAACATTTAGCTCAATGTTCTGTGTTACCTCCTGGGCTAATGAAGCAGAGCAGTAACCAATTAACTGAAATGAACAAAGATGACGACTTTTTACAATTAGAGATTGACAGCGCAAACAGGGAAATGCCCTTGAGCTCCATACAGAGTTTGGATGTGCTTGGTTTATAGGTTGTTCCTTCCCTGGAAAATAAGTGGGAGTGGATGGGTATTAACCCTTAAAAGATTTCTTCACTCTGTAAGATGAAGAACTTACAGCTTTCAAGGATGAGATTCTGTTCTCAAATCTGCAGTTATTTTTATTCCATAAAATTTTGACCATCGCGTACTGATACATTAGATCTTTCCTGTCAGCTTAAGGAGACTATTTTCTTCATTAAAGGATGTTTGTTTACTAAAATAGTTTAAATAACACGTACTGCTGCTAAACTATGATCCCTACAGGCTCATTGTTCAGAACTCAAAACTGCAGCCGTCTGGGAAGTTAGTATTTTTTGATGAGTTTGATTTCTTTCATGTTTTTGTGTGTTTAAATGACGCGTTTTATCATGAACCATAAAAGAAAAGCACTGTTGCCACAAAGCAGCTGTTCAGCAAGAGCTAACTAATTTCTCCTGACAGGCATGCGCCCTGTAGTACTTGGTTATCAGTTCAAACCGTACTAGAATTAAGACATACCTGGTTAATGAAAGTTCATTACAATGAATTGGTAGGAAAATGTAACTTTTTTGTTAAAATTGATATCTTGGTTAAAATATGCAAGAACTTTAATGCCTTATCTACTGTGTTTGAATTCTGAACAAACAGACAGCCATTTATTTACATCCGTTCTTTAAAAAGAAAAAGCTTGTAATTTGTTGCAGCCTAATTAAATAACATTTCTAGAATACATACTTTATGTATGAATGGATGCACATCTGAGCTGTAGATTTTTCTTTTCAGAGCTACTTTTTTAGAATCTATGTGTATTATCTTGATGTTATAAACTGTAATGATTGTGGAAAATGTTTTGAAGATGTTGCAATGTTTTTAAGTTTTTCTTGTCAAACTATTAAGTGCTTTTAAAAACATTAAATATAAAGTATGTATTTCATTTGGTAGGAATTTATTATAGGACTAAGAGGCTATTTGTAAGTGTATGTATATGTGTGCGCGCACACACAAAATTGTGGTGTTTATAGTGTTTCAGGGGAAAGGGGTTTTAACTCTTTTTTTCTTCCATCACTCTATCATTTGGTACCACTATTCTACTCCTTACTGATAGAGTAATTGGTTTAGATTGGAATTATTTCTTGGATTTGTATCAGCGTGAGATCAGAATCTGTCCTTGAGGCTTAAATCGCTGTTACTTAAACATGTCTTATTTTTTTTCTGAGTTAGCTATGGTGAATTTGTATAGCTTTTACTGATTGTTGGTCAGTGCACTGTTTGTTGAACAGTGTAGCATCCCCATTGATGACGCAAGATTTACATCAGCAGCAGGATAGGAATGTCAGACAATTTTTTCTGTTGTAAGGCTGTGGTTTCAAATGTGAAAAATGTGTCAGTAGCTTGTGTGTGTGGAGGGAAGGGGGAAATGGAAAGTGATATGCCTTGGTCATGCAGGTGTATCATGCAATGACTGAAATAATAATCTTTAAAATGCCCCAGCAATATGTGTGAGTTGCTCATTATGTAATTTATTTTTTACAACAGGTTCCCGTAAAGAATCAGCTCCTCAAGTCCTGCTTCCAGAAGAAGAAAAAATTATTGTAGAAGAAACTAAAAGTAATGGTCAGACTGTTATAGAAGAGAAGTAAGAGAACATTTAATGAATGATGGATTAAAACAGTAAACTTTGCGCTCTTCTTCCTCCTCTTGTCTCCCATTATAGTCATGTCTATGGTATATTTGTAGTAGGGAACAGAGCTGTTTGGAGTATGCTGCCAGTCCTTTAAGTGCTGTTGACCTTCATTTAAATGCTTGTAGTCTGGTCTCTTTGCATATGCCATGCAACTGCTTCCTTCCATGCCGAGAACCGATAGGTTTCATTTATAAATAGTTTCTCCAAGTGCTGTAGGATTTCAGTATTGAATTGGTATCATCTTTCTAGTTAGTCTGTGCCATCATTCTGGTTTTCTGGTAAGGTGTATGTTGGAAATGAAATACAGTTACAGAAAGCTGTGATATAGAAACCAGTATAGGTCCATACGTGCTTGAAAGGTATCCTGTCACAGAAGCTGGTAACAGGTCCTTCCCTTACTGAATATAACTCACGATAAGAGACAATTTTTTTAACACAAGTTTGAAATCAGCTGTTAGCCGTGGGGTTTGGTTTTTTCAATGCATTTCATTTAACAGTTTTGTCTAATAATAGATTTAGACATATATTTCTGAAAACCGTTGTAACAGCTGATCTTTTTTCATTTTAGAAGCCTTGTTGACACAGTATATGCATTAAAGGATGAAGTACAGGAGTTAAGACAGGTTGGTAACTTACTACATTTATAGCAACATGGAGAATGGAAAGATGGAAGGCTTATTATAAAAATCAATACAGCTTGGAAGTTGATGCACTTTAACAGGAATGAACTTAAATTTTGGACTAGAGTTAAAAGCCTGAGATTCACTTTTAAAAGTAGAACATACCAATTTGACAAAAAGCACCATCTATTTTGCTTGTCATCTGTCCTTGGAGCACTCACATTTGAGAAGAGCATTAAATATCCTGTCTCTGAGGTGACTTACTAAGCTATGTTTCATTTATTTTTGTATGTTACGATTTCTGAAATGGTGAAAGCGTTAAGCAAATTCAGTTCTGTATTGCCAGCAAAATAACCTTATAGAGACTGTGAAATAGTATTTGCTCTTGGAATGTATTATTTTAGTAGTACAAATTAGTCTGGATCTATTTAGGCCTTTATTAAAACAGTCTTTCAGTAGCCTGAATGCCTCTTACAGGTTAGTTCTTAAAGCCTCTCATTTCCAGAGACGAGAGTCCTTTTTGGCGTCTGTCATGTGGCCTTTTTTAACGAGAGCTTCAGCTTAGCTTGGGGTGCTGCTTTGTCACGTGGGGGAATTGTGCAAGATCTCACCTGAGTTGCTGGTATGGAAGTAGCAGCCAATGTTTTAAGTATCCAAAATTAGTTGTTTAAAAATGTCTTTTTCTTGTCAGGACACAGCCTGTTTAAACCATGTTAATGCTGCTGTCTGTAGTCATTGCTTAATACGTAGACGAAAAAAGCATTGAATTATCCTCACTTTCCAATGTGTGAATTTGCTAACTGACCTTAACAGATCTATGACTCAAAGTCAGTTAAAATCTCCTGTGTTAATGTAAAATAGGTTTGTATTCAAATTACTGTAGGTTTTGGGCTGTAAACATGAATTGAAATTCTTTGCCCATCTGTAAGCATGCCCAGTATTTTTAAGGATGTGGTGCATGTTCCTTGAAATAGGACAGTTGGCATCTTAATACTTAATTTTTTGCTGTTTTCAACATATAAAGCATGTGTATCCCAGACTTGATGCAAATTTGACAGTGTTACTTTTAAAAATACAATTCACTTAATACAAGCACCAATAATAACCCACTAATGTTCCCGTGACCCTAAACAAAAGGTCACCTTCTCCTGAGCTTCAAGGAACAGCTCTCTTCTGATGCTTTCCAAAGAGATGATCTTTTCAGAATCTTGCATCTTCCAAGGCCAAGACCTACTAAAGCCTGAGTTCCTTTTCTTGTATATCAGGAATCTCGGGTTAGAAACATTTATTTATTGGTCTGCTGCTGTGATGTTGCCAACTGGAGAAGGGGCAGAAACAATCTCTGAGCTGGTCCCAAGTGACAACGGCTCTCTAGGAGTACCTAGTGCGCTGGTTGGTGTAGACAGCAGGCTGCCTGTTGGTGAGTGGTACCAGGCAAATTGGGATCCCTCGGAGCTGTAGCAGCTTCCATAGGTTATTCATAGCCGTTGCTCCACAGGCGCTACACTTGAATTGTACAGTCCTCAATTGGCAGTAAATAAATAAGTGTAAAGGAAAAGAAATTAAGTCTGTACTTACAAGAAAATAATGAAATTTCATGGAATCACAGAATGGTTTGGGTAGCAAGGGACCTCAAAGACCATCTAGTTCCCACCCCCCTGCCATGGGCAGGGACACCCTCCACTAGACCAGCTTGCCCAAAGCCCCGTCCAACCTGGCCTGAGTTTCTCAACACACTTGAAGAAGGAATGGAGTTAAGGAGGTAGCAGCTGTTGATCCTGCCCTGTTTCTAGAAATGTCTGTAAATGACAGCCGATGGGAGTCCAGTGGGACCCCTGGATTGCAGACCTGTGTTTGTTAAACACCTGTAAACCTGTTGTCTTGGGGCCTTAATATAATGTTGCCTTATCTTCCGGTTGCTTCCCCACTGTTGTCAGCATCACTTTGGCCCGTACAGGATTAAGCAATGTAAGCATCACTGTGGTTTGGTCAGTGACATCCTTATGGTCCTGTTTTTCATGGTATTTCAGTATTACCTGATGACGCTAAATATTGAGAACTGACTCACTTGTTAATATGCATGCAGAGCGGTGGTGGTCCTTGAAATTCAGACTCCTCTTAGACTGTTGGTAGTAATCTGTGTGGTTTAAAACTTAGTCACAAAACACTTTGCAGAGAACATAATGGTTTTCAAGATACTCCTTTCAACTATTTACTTTCCTAACGAAGCAAGTTAATTTGCATTAAGTTTTAAGAAGCTTTTCTGAGATTGTGAAACTAGTTATAATCACAGGAGGCTCTTAGAGGGCATATTTATTCTACTTACTGCTCCATTTCCCTTTTCCATTAACAACAAATATATTCTACTCCTCATTGATCAGATTTGAGCAGGAAAATTCAAGATTACTGGCCATCTGTTACTAGCACTTGCATTATAAAAGAACCCCTAAGTATAAATAGGAAATAGTTCCATTTCCATTTGGTGGTTTGTGTTGCATCGTGTGAAGTTAACTGTGGGTAACTTGTGAAATTTTAATAGAAGTCTGTGCTTTTGAACAGCTAATAGCAGCCTTACTGAGGAGAGCCTTCAGAATTTGTAATTGATAGTGTATGTGTGGTCAGAAGAGATCCGTTAAAAAAACCAAACCAAACCAAAACCAAACTAGTAATGTTTCTGTCTCTATTAAACAGGATAACAAAAAGATGAAGAAATCATTAGAAGAAGAACAAAGAGCTCGCAAGGACTTGGAGAAGCTTGTTAGAAAAGTTCTAAAGAACATGAATGATCCATCTTGGGATGAAACCAACTTATAACTAATTTTTTTCTTTTTTTTTTCTCCCCCCTTTTTCTTTCTATTGAAAGACCAGTTGTAAAACTGAGCTGGGAAGCCTTCTGACATTAGTCAGTGTTGCATCAGGAGCACTACAAAACAGGATTTAACTGGATCTAGTGATTTCTTGCTCTGAACATATAGAAACAGTCAAGCCATTTACTGAAGCAATCTGTACTTTAAGTGTGGAGACCGTGGATCCTGAACTTTACTAAACTTAATTTGTTTGCATCTAAATTACCTCATTTTGCAGAAAGTGCAGCACCTGACTAAAAGTCCATGTTTTTCAGTGGCTTTTTAATTAAATATATATTTTTCTTGTAAATATCTGTAATTTTGAATGCATATGTGATTGATGTATCAGGGCTGATATGTTATTTTTTCCTCTTGTTATTATGATGGTCACAAGTGTTAGAAATGACGGCAGTACTGTCTTACCTAAGAAAGGTCAGAGTTCTTTATGGATAATTATGGATTTCTTCCAAATTACCCACTCATCACACATGCAGAGTTAAAAACCTATTTTTCCTATTGACCACTGTATTTAAATCCTTTACTGTTATTTATGTCTGTGCATACATTTTTAAACAGTTTACAATTCTTTAAGAACAGTATTAAAATACAGAAAATTGTTTATTGACAGTAGAAACGGTTTTTAACAAAACGAATGCCCATGATTTACAGTCACGTACACTTGTTTGGCAGACTAATCTGTTGTGCTTTAGCCACCAAAAGACTGATGTACTTGCCTGCTTTTTATGACTGTGATTTTTAGGTGTTTATGTACTACATTTTCTATTGTTGTGCTTAAACATACAGCTGGCTGATAATTTAATAGATCATACAGTTAAAGCAAAAAAAAATAATCTAATCCAGAATTTTGTGAATAAATTGTTGCTATTTATATTTTATGGTCACAACAATTACATTTTAGCTAACCTTTGTGCATAAGACACATGGGCTAGGCCAAACTTCATTTGGAGCTTTGTTTTTATACCACTGTGTCAGACTGTCTGTTTGGAATTCCCAGACCATGGAAGCAGAGTCATTCCTTTTCCACCCTGTTTTCTCAGCATGTTGCTGATTTCTGTCCTACTAGGATTTAAATGGAAACAAATCTGGAAATGAAAATTTTTTTTAATCATACTGTAATTCATAATTTGCACTGCTGACAGATTTGAAATTACATAAACGAAGATTTATTCCCTAGTCTGATAGGTGCAATTGCTGCAATCCTCTCCTGTATTTAAAATAGGAGATGCTATGTCATTGCAAACTGTGAGCTTCAGTTGGAGCACTTAAAATACTAATCCCATTAAAGCTCATTGTGTTTCATTGATTTCAGCAAACTTTGGATCCAGCTCCAGACAGTGCAATTTTCTGAGGGGGTTTTCTTCAGTTGACAGTCAGAAGTGCAGGTATAGCACAGACCCAAGTCACACCTTTTGTCGTCCTGATTTTCTAGTGTCCTTTAACTCCTGTTAAATTTAATGCTCGGACTTGAGCAAATGTTTATATGAACTTTAATGAGTTGGAGCCAGGATGATTAGGGTGGTAGGAATTACCATGCACATTTTGCATCTAATGAAAAATCTATTTTTAAAGCTATCCACTTTTCTCAGCCAAGAACAGCTTTTTTTAAATAGGAAAGAATGTCAGTGATTACATACTTGAGGAACAATTCTGTGGGAATGGATACTTAAGAATCTGAATAGACAATTAGTTGTCAGATTTTAAAAAAGTTGAGTATATTTGTAGGTATTTAGTTTGTGTTCCTACAATTTAAAAATGTCTTCCTTTAATTCTAGAGGAGCAGACTGGATTAAAAAACCTGAAAAAGTCTACAATATCAGAGTTACATATATTCCCAGAACTTTAAATTTGTGATAATTTTTGATCCCAAAATTTAACAGTTGCACAAAAATGTGGACTGACATTTATAATTATCTTCATATTTAGAAGATACTCTTGCTAAAAGCTAAGTGATACTAAACCCTGCAAATTCATAACATCTTGGCTAAAATTAGATTTGGGAATACCAACATAATTAGACTTATGCTAACATTTTTTACTTTCTGACATTCAGGCTATTTTCAGACTGAATTTTAATTTTCAATTAACCATATGTGAAAGGACACTCCAGAGGAAGAAGTATAAAAGGAAAACATGAATCTTAGCTGTATTTAGCAAATTTTAACTCAGGAACAACTTCCATCATAACAATTTGTTTTACATTATATTGTGAAGAGTGGCATTGCTTTGTAAATTTGCTGATGCTTAGTACCTGTGGTTATTATAATTTCTGACAGTTACCCCTATACTGACATCTAATGAACATGCCTTAAACACTGGGATTAAGCAGTTGTTAAATATGACCAGGACTTAGGGACTGATTTTTATTCAAGGTGGACTGGGATGATGAATTTAAAAAAACCAAACCAAACAAAAAACACAACCCACCTAATATTGTAGGTAGCTTTTGTCTCTAGTGCAGAGAGCGAGCTTCAGGCTTTTGGGAACCAAGGAATAGCTGAACTTTTTTCTTTGACAATTTGTTATACTGTATATAGATTGTAAATTTCACCACGGACCTTCTGAATTGTTCGAAACTTTATATAAGCATGGATAAATGGGGCACTGTTTATTTAACCTATTAAAGGGTTATTTCTTTGCTCTCATCGTTTAGGGATGAGGAGATGAAGCCATTTCTTATCCTATAGATGTGAAGCACTTTCAGTTCTGAACTGTCCAAAATGTAGCATAACATTTCTCTGTACTTACTGATGTACGCGTGTTTGTCTCACCATGTCATGACATCTTAAAGATTAAACAACTGACCACCTTTGTATAAACCTTCTTAATGCCAATCATTTAGGGAATTTAGAGTGTCTGTTTACAGCATCTGTGGAGAACTCAAGTTTAGTTTAGATGTCACAATAATATCCTGGTATCGACTACTAAAGTGTTTATGCTACATTGCTGTAATTAAACCATGATTTTCCCCCTACCCTATGAAGTGTTACATTTCATCTAATACGTGGGCTAGGAGATGAAGAAGGAAAATTGCTTTAATTTTTTTTTTCTGTTCCTTTCGTATAAGGAACCTATTTAATAGTTGGTATACTGTATTGAAAGGGCCTTTTCGTAGTCTTTTATAATAGAAAATTGATGCCTGGAAAATAGAACAAAGCCAGGGTTGTTTAGAGGGGCGAGGAGGAGGATCTTAACTGTCTGGCACTGAGGAACTTTCACTTTGGCAACCTGACCTGCTAGGGTAACGCAAGAGATGCAGGAGATCAAAGACAGAAGATAATGGCAGAAAGCAAGAAACTTTAGAAAATCAAATCACTGCATAAATAAATACTTGCCTACATGCATGACTTATCTGAATAGGTGTTAAATTTGTCATAAGTGAGTATCATAGACTTTACTTGGCTGGTGCCACATGAAATGGGGAGTGTGGTTTTTATGATAGGAACATTTTATCGGTATTGCTTTATGCAGGACGATGGGATGGGTAATGGAAAGTGTCGCGAGTCATTTGTTTGAAAAGATGGCTTCAGTCTTTGGACGAGGCATTTGATGGGATTAATAACTGAGCTTAGATATCTGAAATAATACATATGGTTTTGTATACTTAAAAAGAACAGAGGACATAACTTTTAGTCAGAAGTAATTCATATTTTGCAAATTTTCTCTTGGCTCATCATTGTAAAGACAGGTTTTCCCCGGAACTTGAAATCCTCATTTACTTTAGATATTCAGAAGTGTTTTGGGGATTTTCTTTCTGGGTGTGTTTTGTTGTGGCAGCTTGACCTTGGCTGGCTGCTCTCTTACTCCTCCTCAACATGAGGAGGGGAGAGAATAAGATGGAAAAGCTCATGGGATGGGATAAAAACAGGGAAATTATTTTTGTCACAAGCAAAACAGATGACTTGGGGAAAAATAATTTCTTGCCTATTAAAAAGAGTTGCAGAGTGAGGACCAAAGACAAAAACAAAACCACCTTCTCCTCACATCCTTCTCCAGGCTTAATTTCACTCCGTCATTCCTGAATCCCCTACCTCACCCCGCCCCAAGCAGCGCAGGGGGATGTGGAACAGGGGGTTGTGGTCTGTCCATAACAATTCCTCACTGTTGCTCCTTCCTCCTCTTTTTCCTGCTCTGGTTTGGGTCCTCTCCATGGGCTGCTGTCCTGCAGAATAAACTTGCTCCACCGTGGGTCCCCCATAGGCCGTAGTTCCTGCCATAAGCCTGCTCCAGTGTGGGCTTTCCATGGGCTGCAGCTTCCTTCAGGGCACCTGCTCTTCCACGGGACCCTCCACATGTGGGTATCTGCTCTGGTGGGGTCCTCTACAGGTTGCAGGGGAGCAACCTGCTGCCATGTCATCTCCTCCATAGGCTGCAGGGGAGCCTGCTGGCGCACCTCATCCCCCTCCTCTGACCCAGACCTTCATGGTGGTGTTTCTCAGGGATTTTTCTCACTGTTGCACTCTTAAATATGCTTTTGCTCAGGCGCCACCTTCTTGGCCACCCTACAATCCCTGCTGCTAGCGCCTGGGCACATAAACCCAGTGCATTTATTAACACTCAGGAGCAAGTAGGTTTGGGTTCAGGAAAGCTCCCTGGGTCCTGTATATAATATGCTGAAACTTTAAATAACCATTAAAGCATTAAGCATTACCTTAAATAATGCTGTTTGCCTGAGATTGGCAGCTCCACCTGCAATGTTGGGACACAAGGCAGGAGTGAGAAAGGTTAGGAAGGTAGATGCCCACCATGGCAGATGTGAGTGGAGCTGTTAGTTCGATGGGAACAAAAAAAGCGTTTTCTCCTTCATCTTGTCAGATGACTCGTTTCTAATTTCTTGCTCTTTCCTTAACTGACCATCTGAGTTTGTTCAATCACCTTCAGAATTTCTTCAGATCACAGTACAGGTTGTGTCCAGCAGGTGAAACCCATGTTTATTTCATTATTGCTTATGAAAACCATTTTTACTGTTAATACTCCACCAGCTACTTTCTGTTGTATAATTACTGCCAAGTAGTTGTCACTTGCCCACCCACAAGCACTGGCAATGTTTTCCAAGGGTGTGGTGTGCTTTGACAACTAGAGGAAAACACATTGGCAGTCAATGTCTTCAGCATCTGGGGGGTGCAAAGAGGAGGATTGATGGTTCTGAGATGTGGATGGTGTCAGGAGAGCGCTACATTTCAACTGGGAAGGAGTGGGAAATGAATTGGCCACGTTGGCCACTCTGCCTTCAGGTAGTGCTGCTGATGTTACAGGCTGGGTTGGTAGAAGCAGCAGATAAAAGATAGAATTTGTATCCTGCTACCAGCACAGCACAAATTGTTATTTCTCCTTATAGTTGGATGAATTTCTGAGGAAATGGTCTAAATAGATCTTGAGATGCTTTTCACTACGCATGCTTGTGGCCACCACATTTCCCATGTAGGGTTATGCCTCTGAACTACTGCTGCTTGTCCAAGGGCTATCTAATTTATACACTGTTGGAGCTGCTACACCTAGTAGAAGCTAATTGCAGCGGGCACTTTTGCTTGCTACGATAAGGTAACGGATAACAGGGCGGGAGGGAGCACGTAGCAACTATTGATTATGGGAGTGA